TGGTTCATCACGCACAAAGTGATACGGTTTCGAGCTGTACAACGTTTGAATCTGTCTCTGCCGTCCCCATTGCAAAAGGCCTCCTCGATCTCCTGGATGAGTGGCTACAAACCTGAGACGTGGACGCGTCGTCAACGCCCGGGAAGAAAGGCATGATTCATTCCACGCACAAAAAGTAATTGCGGCACTGATTTCAGGAGCAACGCACGAGTCTACTGTGTGTCTTCCTTTGCAGAGCGCCGCACATGATGTTGGCGCGCTCAACAACGAATTTACAGACAGTATCGCAGCCACGGGCAACCGGGTGTGGAGCACAGCAGGCAGATATGCGTTGATTGAGTTGCACCTTCCTACAGCAATGCTAACGGAGCATGTATATGTGCCTTCCTCATGGGATCGGATAAAACACACTTGCTGAACACCGGCGGGGAAGAGCAGCTCGTGCAGATCTGGAGTCACGTATAGAAATATGTGTAACGCTGGGGTGGGCGCCTCTGACCATCAACTCACTTGTGGGCTTTCGACTTGCCGCAGGAGGTTGACCAGTACATTCAGTAGTTGAGCAGATAGCCGACGTTGCTGTTAACTAGAAACGCCTACAACTTATCCATCAGCTGTTTACATTCGAAACGCGATAGCAGGAAAATGACTTTACACATGAACTCCTTCAGCAGCAAGTCACATTGACGGTGACCCCGTCCATACTGACGGCTCACGTTGGTTGCGCGCATCATCCGAAGATTCGCGACCCCCCAATAAAAGAATAAGCATGCCCTTTGCTCAGCAGAAGTCAACATGTTTTGCTCTCGCCGCCTTTGAAATGCAACGCACCCATTGCTCTAAAGGCTACGCATGCAGATGGTAGATGTCAGCTGATGCGTCTTCCCGAGAAAGCTCCAAAGAGCATAAGGGTAGGCAAATATGCCGACCAATTTACGCACAGCGATACGCGAGCCAACCCCGACGTCGAAACGCCCCGTGTCAAAGCTTCGATTTCGTAGGCTTGATGCTCAATCCCCCCTTCCCTACGGGAGGCCCACGTACGCAGACGGGTCCTGAGGTGCAAGCGCCACCAGAGACTGCCTAAATACGTCAACGATCAAACGCCTGCATATGTACTCCACTATGCTTTGTTTCGACGCCGCGACACAGGATATTTGTGTCCAAATACAGCCATACGGAGGGCTTGGGTAGCACTACAGGAAACGGTTGGTGCCCTGGTGCTGCGCCCCGAAGCATCTGTTGAATAGCGTGTACAAAGACGAGAAAGACACACCGAAAGCTGCTATGCAAAGCGCTGGCTGATCCGGCGCACGTTCGGAGACAGTCGCAAACAATCAATATGTGCAGCAGCACCGTAGGTTCACGGGTACTTGAGGAGCTACTGTCAGGTGTCCGTGCGTACGCTGCACCAATGTTGAAGTTGTGCGTGGATGCTGCTCACTGCAAACAAACATTCGAATGATTCTCACACCTTCAGCACAGGGTGTACATTAGGTTCGTGAGGCACCATATCACAGCAGGTACGCCTAGACGGCGCTGGCTTTTCGGCTTCACAGGCCATCCCGCATCATGCCGAAAGCAACTGAACACCTTAACGCCTCTCTCTTGTGTCGTTGCAGGTGTGCACGCCAGCCGGTTAGCTGATGTATTTCTGCTCGCCCTTGCCCACGACGAACTTGCTGTCCAAAAAGATCCTCTGGAATATGCTAAGCTGAGGAAGTCGTGTTCCCTTGCTCGGGCGGCGGCAACTGAGCTGCAGGAGTGTGGGGCAAAGGCTGCAGACACACTTCGTGTTTCAGGTGTACCCAGAGACTGCCACATTCACGCATGACAGACGTGAAGGCTGTAGAGCGCAACTGCATACAAGTCAGCATCCGCCCGATTAGTTCACCCTAATCGGCTATATCATCGGCAATCCGAATGCCATGTACGTAGAGGAGGAGCTACAAACACCGTCTGCACCGCTGCATCGCTTCACTGTGCATTAAACTTATGCATGGCATTTCGCAAATAACAGACGTTACTTCTGAAACGCTGCAGCCTACTTCTGCCGCCGACGAGGATTTCCTGTCTAAACCGAAGTAGAGAAGGATTTCCTGTCTATGCCAAAGTAAAGCAACGTGGCAACTCCACCTCCGAGTTCCCTGCCCGCATGGATGGTGGCCATATGTACTGTAAACTGCATGGATCGCGGAAGGCCGCAGCGGCGCTACTAAGCCTGCTTGCATCTTTAGAAAGAAAAACTGCCGTTGTTGCGGCGTCTCAGAGAAACGCCGTACCGCCTGCTCTGAACGCTTGTTTGCATCAAATCAGACGGTTAAAGCTTATCTCAACGCCACGCGCATGCTAGCGCAGAGACAGGTTGCTCCGCCGTAAACGCGCAGAGCAGAGCTGTTGCGGGGGCACCTCTATGCATTTCAGGCAGCGCCAATAAGTGCTTCGTGTATGGCAGACAATGTTGGAAAAAGCAGGTGCCTTCTGCTCATGCAAAAGTCCGCTTCTAGATCTGAGAGCTTCCCCCTGTCTTCCTTTCGCACATGCACACATCAGAGAAACAGGAGCTTCACGAGCTTGTAAACTAGCTACAACTCGCATATATGCTCCCGCCCCTACGTGCAACCGCTAAACTGTGCCACCACAGCGTGCCTAGAATGTGGCTTATCAAGTATGGTCATCGAGGTAACGGACGTCGAGCTCAGCACAGCTTAACGGAACCAAGAATCCCCCTGTCAACCTCCTACCGCAACAGCAATAGCCCGCCTACGTGCCGCCGTCCGCTTGCAACGCTTTAGCTCTCTGGTTCCCCTAGACGTGACTAGCGCATTCTACGAAGGATGCCTGCCTTTGCCCAACTAGCACTCCACTGTGCTCCGCATACCCAATCTCGGAACCATCATACGGAGGACAGCGCAAATGTTTCATATGTGACTGATGCTAGTAGTGCTTCAATAAGTCCTTCATGTTGCAAGAGTCAGTTTCTGCCTCCGCCGTTCCAAGCGAGCTGGAGCTCGAACGATGTTGCCCGCTGCCCGCCGCCAAACACTTCCTAGGTTGGTGCTGCTGCATCCCAGATTTCGATATGCTGGCGACGCACTTGCTGGTGTCCATTGGTATGCCTGTGGTGGCTCTCCCTAGGCCACAAGCCGCCAGCGAATATTCCGCCGGCAAAATGAATGGGCCCATACGTTTCTTACGCCACTAAGCCCGAACAGGTATCTACCTTGTTCCAACCTCAGCTGCCTTTATTGATCTACACAAGAGCATCTACTCCAAATAATTCTATAGCACTCAAAGATATTGAACCAGATCTACGCAAATCATATGTGCAGAACCATACATGAAACGTAACAATCCTCGCCACACACTTCACGCTCTACGACCACTATCGGTTTTACACAATCGCCGCTCAGCTCCCCCACACCCGGTAGTCACAACGCGACGCTACAGCCGCCACCTCCAGTGTGGCATCAAGCACGCAGCTTTGCTTTACTCTGTGCATCTACTTACATTCCCTGGGGCAGTGCAACTCTTCAAGCTATACAAGCGAGCATGAAACCAGTGTGTCGTATGCGGCACCCCGTTGCCATCACCTATGCGCATGCGATTACTCTCAAGTGCTCATACATACTTGGCCACGCACCAAGGGGCAAAGTGGTCGACCTACACTATGTTCGGACTCGTCCGTACTGTCCTCAATCTGTGTGCAGAATGCCCCTTCCTTCGTCTCGATGCATAAACACTGACCCGTTGTTGATACACCTGAGCAGGCGTGCGTCCAGCACCACCCACAAAACGTCCACTGCTAATTGCGGCTTTAGCATCAACGCATGAATTCACTGTTGTGTGCTTTAAAGTGCTGCGAACCACCGCAAACCAAGGTGGTGCGCTCATCGACAGATGTAGCGACCATGTGAACGCAACACACCACCGTGAAACACTCCAACACCCACTGCCAGGTGAGATGGCTCGCACACTTGAGGCAGCGCTAAATGCGCAAACTAAGATGTGCCTCACTGCAGAACATCCCCCTCCTGCCACAGTTACACGCTCGTATGCTTTGGCTGGTCATGCATGCTGCCAGACACTGTGTTCACAAAGACGTTGCAGGAGTGCAGTGTCCCCCTTCCTGCTGAACATCTGTTCACTGTGCGAAGGCAGATTTTGCTCCGTAGAGCTACATGCGCATCTTTCAGACCCCTAGCAACACGCTGGCTAGCTTTCAGTCAGGCCTAGACGCGACGGACTCCCTGTGTCGTTACGAGCACGACAGTTCCCAGTACAGAAGTATATTTTCCCACCGCAAAGCATGTTGAGCTTCCAAGGAGAGCATCTCCAGCGGTCTGTCCATGGTAGACAACACGAGCAAGTGTGGGCACTGTATAACGCACAACGTGCTCTACAGTAGAAACCAGGACGCGGACGCCTGCCACTACAACTAGGCACCGCCCTCATGAGAATTTGGGACTTCTTGGCAATGCCACCACAACATGAATTTAACACTCCCGCGTCCCCCTGCTGCAATAGGAATATCAGTCGCTCCTTCCCCTTAGCAGTGCATGCCAAAACGGCGTCAAACTCATTGTTTTGGTTGAGGGGTAACCGTCAATCTCCACGCGCAACGGCCATTTCAGAATTAGTTAGGCAGATGATGGGTAGAGACCTGATTCGCGAAAAAGAACTGCTGCAGGTACGACCTTCGAAGGCTCACAAGCTGAGCAAGAAATGCATGCAGCTGTCGTACTCTTCCTCCGCACAGTACGACACTGACCATGCGCCCACGAGAGGCAAGGCATGCCCCTTAACTCGTAATCTACTAATCCCCTTTGAACATTCTCGGGCCTCCGCCCCACCAAAATGAGCCAACTGGAATGTTTCCGCTGCATTATGCGCAAGACACTACACTGTTGTAGTGTGTGGGAATCGCCTAGCAGGACGCGGTCGCCTCAGGTTCCACTCCTGAAAGGATCTCCAGCGGCTCACTGGAGCCTCCCATACTCTTATAGAGCCTTTGTATCCTTTTGTGCAGCCCTACGCACCTGGGTCCCGAGGAAAATAGAACAGATGCCGTAACGTATATCATCAAACGCCCTGCCGATCCGGCCGAAGGTTCGGCGATGCTGCGATAAATGGACGAACGAAAGGGAACGTACGAGCCAGTGTGCTTCTCCTTTCTCGGGATGCCTCTGTGAGCTGATTGCGAGCTTGTCTGGAGCTTTGTCCGAGGTCAGTGCCCTGAAGCACTGGAATGGCAGGCATACCACAGCAGCAGTCAAGGCAAAGAGGGCAACACCCGCTAACGTCGCTTTGACGAGGGTGAACGCCTTTGCCCTTCTGAATTTATCTTTGTTTCTTATAGAAAATTCTTGCTGAGTCCCAGTTGCTTCAAAGTAGGCCGTCAGAACATCCGATTCCGGCAGGAAGTCGCTAGGCGCCGTGTCAAGCGTAGCGTCAACCGAGATGTCTGGAAAGGAACTATACATTTTTGAATTAAGAGAGTAGATGGTAGTGTTAGTCGGAATGTCGTGGGTTTTCCAAATCGAGACTTAGCTACCCCGAAACGAAGTCTCCTGTCGGTGCGAAGTGGCACATGTCAGCGCTGAATGCCTCGAATGCAGCGCTAACATTGAAGCATAATAAATTCCGTTTGATGGCACGTAGTATAAGCTGCGACTTTTTCACGCCGCAGCTTAAAGTGAATGTGTCTTTAGACCGACGATTTGTTCCACGCACCACAGCTTCCAGAAGCGAGAACCCGAGCTGCGCTGGGCTAAGCCGAGCTGCTACTCCGAGATGTGAACACGCTGACTAAAACAGGCGAGTATTCCTCTTTATTGGAGCATAAGTTCAAAATCAGTAACACCGTTGTTAAACTGTTCAAGTTCCAAAACGAAAGAATTTATTATGTGTTTTCGCAGTGTGCGAATTTCCACACGGAACATCGACACTGCCAGCCCTAAGCCGTGGCCCAGGGTTCAGTGGCATGGATTCTCGAAAATCAGTATGAATTGGCTGCGTAGTTAGAAAAGGCTTTTTATCTTATTCAATATTTATTTGTTGTCAGAAGCTGAAGATAAGGGTCAAGGTTATCCTACGGTAACGGAGAGTGACCTTCGTGTCTTGTCTCTAAGGCCTGCTCTCGGGCCTTAATCAAGGACAGAAGCGAGCTGCAATGCAGGTAAAAACATGAAGTAACAGCTCCCCGTCCTCTGGCGTCTTGGGCGTTGAGCTTAGGGCCTGGATGATGCGCGGAGGAGGCAGGCTGAAGTGGGTTTTGCAGCACACCTGTAACGCTTGTTTTGTGGCCTTTATCTGGCCAGAGGCGAGCCGCAATGTAGGCAAAGACTTAAAACAAGAGTTTCCCAAAAGCAGCTGACCCCTTTCCCCGGTACCTACGCATCCTGGGCGTTGGGCTCAGGGCCTGGGTGTTGCGGGGAGGAGGCAGCCAGAAATGGGGTTGCAGCGCACCCCGCTGCGGCTGG